GTGTGTGTGTGTGTGTGTGTGTGTGTGTGTGTGTGTGTGTGTGTGTGCGTGCGTGCGTGCGTGCGTGCGTGCGTGCGTGCGTGCGTGCGTGCGTGCGTGCGTGCGTGCGTGCGTGCGTGCGTGCGTGCGTGCGTGCGTGCCTAAACTGTAACTTAACTGTATGCATCCACAATACAGAGCTGTGTGCAACTGTGCCATGTTAGTTATTTACATTGTAAGAAGTAGAAGAAGAAGAAGAAGAAGCAGCTTGTGTGCATTAATGTGCCCAGAAAGAGAGCATCAATAGGTAGCACACAGTTAATAGGCTATGTGTGAGATGCTTGAAGCACATCTTGGTACACTTTGCAGCAAAGTGAGTAGAAGACTGAAGATTTAAATTTGAGGAAAAAAATGGTTGTTAGGATGTGACGGAGTCACTGATGTTACAGCTTGTGTAGCGACTGGTGTGCGTTTACTCTTTTGATGGTAATTTCCTGTCAAGGGCCCTCCAGCCTCTTCTGCCTTTATAGTGGGAGGAGATCAGCTGGGCCTCAGCGGTCGCAGTGTTTCTAAAAGTCCCCGCATCACCCTCTCCACACAGCGGAAGTAGGCAGTGAAAGGTGGCTCGGCCGGGGCCAAGAGGGGCCCTGCTCTGTTACTCCTCTTTCCAGCTCTCAATAGTCTCTTCATCTGTTTGAGCCAGTGGCCACAGAGCAGGGCAAGGGGGCGTTTATTAAAATATTGTTATTCAATGGTCTCTTTTCTGCTTGTGAACAAGAGGCAGCTGAGCCGTCTGTTCTGCTCTCTGACCTGCACTGACTGTCTTTTTCCATGCCGTGATCCCTCATAATGGAATCGACTGTCGTGTTTATATTTAGTGAGAAAAGGGAAATAGGGTCCTACTTCCTACTTTTTTTTTTTAAAGCCTGTCTGAGCTTAAATCGGGCACAATGCCTGCGCTTTGTCCGTGTGAGAGGTTGTGGACGGAGCTGCGACGAACTCAAAACCTCGTCGGATCCCCATCTGTCCAAAATATTTTCGTCAACAGGCAGATTTAGTCAGAGCTGTTTGGGTTCAGTCACCATAGGCAACAAAAACAACACAGGAAAACCACTGATGTCTAATTTTCTTAAGTGACTTAATTTTCTATTTCGACCATTGTGGTCCATCTTGTGAAGCAATTTCCCCTGACAGGAAATTACCATCAGCAGGGTCAGCTCACACAATACACCGCTACAGGCCTAACGCAGTATCACATATGATATCAGGAGGGCTATAGCTTCCTTTGAGGACACCGAGGTCACGTCCTCTGTACAGTTCAGATACTACAATTAAAAAGTTACACATGGTGGGTATTTTATATCAGCTGATTGAGAACTGTCCTTAACAGTATTTAATCAGCACGTTAGCGTTTGATTACTTTTAACCCAATTAGTCAATAAATGATTCAGTATTTCTCCAACAGTTTATTTCTTGCAGCATTTTTATCTTAATTAAAGGAATAGTTTGATATTTTGGGAAATGCACTTGTTTGCTTTTTTTTTTGCCAACAGTTAGATTCATGAACGATTGATACCACTATATTAATATAAAGCTATAGCCAGCAGCTGATTAGCTTAGCATAAAGACTGGAGACAGAAAGAAACAGCTGGCGTGGCGCTTTCCTAAGGTGGCAAAGACGGCTTACCAGCACCTCTAATGTTCAATCTTGTTTGTTTAATCAGTATAAAAATAAATAAATATGAAAGCATTTTTTTTTTTGACAGAGGGTTATGTGCACTGGGACAGAGCCACTCTGTTTCTAGCCTTTGTGCTAAGCTAAGTTAGCCGGCTGAGTGAGCCCCATATTTAACAGACAGACTTGAGAGTGGTTTTGAGCCTCTCATCTAACTCTAAAAAAGAAAGCAATTTTCCTTCTTCTTTAACATTTAAAGAAGATAAAATGTAACAGTCAACTGAATGATTAAAGATATAACATATTACTTGATTAATTAGGCAAGTCACACAAAATTAATCTGAAACTATTGTGATGCCTGATTAATCGTTTGTCACTTCTTAAGAAAAATACCAAATATTTAACGGTTCTGCCTTCTAAATGCTCTGATTTTATGCTTTTCTTTTTTGTTATATGATAGTAAACTGAATATATTGAGATTTTAGGCACAATAGAGACAACAATCAGCAGATTAATTGGCTATGAAAATAAACGTTGGTTGAGGTTTTACTGTAAATTTGAAGCTTCTCTCAATAGTGCATCACCATATTGCTGCATCACCATGACTTCTTTCCTCTTCCCTTCCTCAGTACCAGCTCAACGGCCAGATGTCTCGAATGGAGCCTTGCTTGATGGGCAGCACTCCCCGGTTACACCCTGCACCCGTCGCCCCCCGGTGGCCAGATGTGTCGCCAGCTAACACCTGTTACACCAGCCCACCTATGCATTCATCCCGCTACGCCACCTCTGGGGACCTATACTCTCCCCTGGGCCCACGCAGGAACTCAGAGTACGAACACTCGCAGCATTTCCCCGGCTTTGCCTACATCAACGGAGAGGCCACCACGGGCTGGGCAAAATAAACAATGCTCTGGACACCTGTGTAAAAGCTCCAGGCCTGCCAAACTGGTGGATGCAAAGTCTCTGAACACTTCCAATCAAGTACATGAAAACGGAGGAGCAGAGAGTACATAGTAATAGGAATCATGGTATGGACGTACTGACAATTTTAAAAGTCTCTGAATCACTGATGATTGTGATGTAACTTGTGCAGAGGTTTATTAAAATAGATGTTGTTGCTCACTGCTGGAGGAAAAAATTCAAATCATATAGAATGAACTTGCAGCAAAAATCATTTTAGGAGTGCAATGCTGCTGCCAAGCTGTGCCTTTTGTTTTAAGGAATGTACACCTGTTTCCCTCGTCAGTCTCACAAGTCAGCACACCGATCATCCCACCGACCCTCAGTTTTGTCAGTGACTGACGGATCAGGGTGCTGTAAGCCTTCACTGACACCAGTACAATCTCAGTGACACCGCTGTCTCCTCTTGTTGCTCAGCATTGTGCAGCATCTTGTCATGAACTCGCTGCAGCAGCTTTGTTTGCTGCAGGATGTGGATGAACTGTACTGCCTTAAAGTTCTTCTGGGACACCAGTTACATACAGTGGCACAAAGCCAAAACACAAGACAGATATAAACTCCTTGATCGGTGTGTTAAGGTGTCTCCATCTTGATAGTTTTTTAAATGATTGAATGCAGTGACTCAAAAACAGCTGTGCGTGTGTATTCTGTTGCAAGATTTTTTGCTGTTTTACTGTGACTATATATATATATATATATATATATATATATATATATAGTATGTATTTTCTGTAACTTTGTAACATGGTGTATCCTTTATTTTCTATGTTACAATTGGTACTTTGTTCTCTGTTTTGTATGGTAAGTGAAAGACGCATTAACCTAGGGTTGTGTGTTTTATAATGCACTCAAAGCTACTGAGGACCTATTACCCTATGGGTATTTATAAAAAGGGAAATTATCAAAGTGTACAGTAACATGAAGTCTAGTCACTTTTCTGTAAATAAAAGCACTGGAAACCGTCTGTGGTGACAATTTAAAGTCTTTGTCAACTTGTCTTCCTTTTTCAACACTGTCTTTATTCTTTCTGTGTTAAAGTCCTCAAATCATGCACAGATATGTCCAAATACTAACACAATTTAACTAAACATATTATTGTATCTATTCAATATTCATAATCAATGTAGGCAGTGGAGCAAAGTCTGCTCATTGATTGATTAAGAACTGCTCTTTCGTTACTTTCTATGTGGTAAAAGTTTTTATTAGAATTATTTAAGGTGGATTTCTTTAATTTGCTAAATAGATTGACTTTATACCTACTGACATGTGTTACTTCTGAAAATGTATCACTCCACGTTCGCCGTTAATCGAATCTCCAGTTTACGTTTTGGAAAACAAAGAAAATGTTCTGAAGTAGTCTGAGCTTATTGTTACTTCTCTCTCCATGCGGTGACAACACAGTGGGGGGTTGGGCCAGTTGCACAAGAGCCACACTGCAGAAAGAATTACATTTCTATAGAGAGAATGTCCTGGTGTGCCGGGGTCATTGTACCTCAGTCCCATAACCTTTGACCTCTGACCCCTGCAGAGATTTGTTTTTATTGGAACATAGATCCTCAGTGTTTCGTCTCCAAAATCCTGCAGGATTCTCAGCCGAGACTTTGAATTCACAAAAACCCGTTAAGAACAGAAAAAATGACAACCCACTGTTGTGGTTTAATCATCTGACCTGAGTGTCAATATCAATATCTGCTTAAGATTTCAGAGAAAGATTGGTGATCCTGGGTGTGTGCACGCAGAAGTCACTTTTAGATGTGAGAAACCTGCTGCACGACCTGAAGGTCTTATCTCTGACATAACCAAGCCACTGCTTACACTAGCGTATGCCTGCCTGCTTACACAGTGGTTACAAGTAGCTCCCTTTTCATGCGCTTTAAAATGAGTCTATAACTCACTGAGTCAAGCATATTTCTGAAATGAAACTAAAAAAGAAAAAATGTATTTATCTATTTGATTTAAACTTTCACACTGGGTTAATATTCCTAAACTCACAATATCTGTATGTATACTCTAATATTTGTGAGTAGCTATATTGTTGGAATATTGGAAATATTACTGTTCATGTTCATGAAGGGAAACTGACCTGTGGGAACATTTATTAGGAGGAAAAAGGACATATCTACACTCACAGCTATCGGTAGTTTAGATTGTCCGATCCATGTGAATGTCTGTGTCCTGATAAAGGAAGATTACACCAACAAAGAGAAAACATACAAACTAAGGTTCAAACCCTGGAGGTTGTTAATGAGGCAACTGCAGGCAACACATATCCTGAGCCCAGTTAATAACATGGATAGTGCCAGTGATTCACCAGAACCTCATGAAGTCTATTTTTTCTGCAGAGTCACAGAAGTGGTTCCAGCATCTGTGTATGACACCTACCCAACTGTGTTTTTTTCTCTCTGTACAGATGGATCTGACATGCCATGACCTCACTCACTGTATCCAATCAATTCTTCTATTTTCTATATTCCTCTATAAATCCACAAATCAATAAAACAATTCAGATGAATATTTTCTTAATCTGTGATGCCTCACAGATGTAATACGAACACCATTGGCAACCCTTCAGTTGTATGGGTATATGTTTTTTATTCAGATAAGCATAAATGTGGAAAATTACCTTTTTTTTCATAAATAAATAGCTTTGTATAGGCCACAGTCAGTTTGACAGGTCAACATGATATTCCTGACTGTCAAAGAAGAATATACAGGCAAGCTTTTTCCATTAAAAAAAGGCTTTTTGACACTTGTTGACAGTTGCAACCCAAACCTCTGACACGACATGGTATAATATCTTGTGAATGAATCAATTACATTATTAATGATCTCCTTAATTTTCGAATTCCACAACATGAGCCACAAAGGAAATACTAATTGCATAGTCTCATATTAATATGTTGCATACAAGTAAAAGGTTTTCCCGTCATGCTTCCCTTCAAACTTATAAATATTTATACATTCAATACAATATATTAAACATTGAACCATGCGTTTTCGTCCTAAATGTTTCACACATGTACAACTGACATGTAGAGGCTTATATATATATATATATATATATATATATTAGAAAACTGTATACTTGTAATGTCAGTGGCAGTGAAGAGCAGCCCTGAAGTGATGGAGACAGGCGGACAGTCAGGGGAGTTTCCCTGTTGACAGACCTCACTGACTCTCATTAGGAGCTAGCCAGCCAGCTAGCTAGATAGCTGCATCGCACACATTGGCCACGTCCAAACCAAGCTAACTACTCGATCCTCCGATATCCACCATGGATCTGAATACTATCTTGTCACAGCTTGAAACTGCCGACGAAGAGGAAATCGAGAAGTTTCTGCGGCAGTATATTCGAGAGGTAAATCGCGGCTCTGCTCGTTTTTACGTCAACCATAACAAACTGCGGTGCTAACGTTAGCTAGCTAGCTAAACCACTAGCTCTGAATGAGCTAAACATCTTACCAGCCGACTAAGCTAAGATGTTGGCACACTCATATTGTCTCTAATGTTGCGTCGTTAAACATAAACCTATGATTGAGACAATCAAAGCCTTGATACGTTGTTTATAATGCCAACGTCCTATAGTGCTGATGATGCTAATGCTCCCTAACTAATCATGTTACTCCACGTAGAGTTATAGAGCAATATTAGCATACTTTAGCTATCTGTTGGAGCTATTTGGGAACCTAAATCCTTTTCAAAGAGGCTGGGGTTTATTTATAATAATGACTGTGACATGTCAGGTTCTTTAGTGTCCACAATGAGCATCTTATCTGTTTCAGAACAGTCACACCTTCAGTTTTGACCAAAAGGAAGAATCCCTGCGCAGTGTGAGTACTAGTTATCTGAGCAGTTGGTTATTATATGATCAAGGTAACCCACTTAAGTTATTATCTATAATATCTATATTTCAGAAGCTGTGCCAGAGTGTGTTGTCAGTTCTTGGGAGGCGGGTGAAGCCTAGCTGTCAGAAGACATGTCTGGAGACACTCCGCATCCTGTCCAGAGACAAGCGTGTCCTCGCACCTGTAGCCACCAGGGAGGGCATGCTGATCCTGGGAGGAATGGCGAGGCTGAACGCTGGAGAGGAAGGTGATGACAACCAGAACATCTCTCAGGAAGACACCCAGTCAGAGGAGGAGGAGAGGGTGGTGGTGGTGGAGGCCTTGAAGTGCCTATGCAATGTGGTGTACAATAGTCCTGCTGCTCAGCAGGTTAGTGTAGACGTGCAGCTGGTTCATGGCCTTTGTGCCACCCTGCGTACAGCCCGTACATGGCACCATGAGGTGGGCCTCTTCACGCTGCGCCTTCTCTTCCTGGTGTCTGCACTGAGACCCGATGTGAGAGGGGTTTTGAGGAGAGAGTGGCATGCTGTGAGACTACTGATGGAGGTCCTGGAGCACACCCTGGATGTGAGCTGGGTTGGTCCCTATGAAGCTGCCCGTCCAGATCCACAGGCTCTGCCCATGCCGGCAGAGGACAACGAGAGAGCAATGGAGGCGCTCAAAGCCTTGTTCAACCTCACACTGTCTGACACTGGTGGGGAGGTGAGTGTGTTAAGGTTCTGTTGTAAGCGAGTCATTTGGGTTTGCTTTTGTTCTCGTTATCTTGCAAGTGTTCATTAGCAGAAACCTAAATGTTTCTGGCTCAGTCATTTACTGATCCGACTGTCCCACAACAGCCAAATTATGACTATATATAACATTTCAGTGTAAATGTGACTTAAAATAAATGTTGTCAACTTACACTGTCACTAATACAAATGCAATTTGTGATGCGCTGTGACCAGTGTGGCATTTAAAGGGCCAGCGCAAGACAACTCAAAATGTCCTGGCCACTTCCAAGTCTGTGATCGGATAGTCAAAAAATGACATCCAAGTCTTTTCCTAACCACTTGTCCTTGATGGGAAAACGTCATGAGGTCGAGGAAGATGTGAAAGAGAATTCATAAGGATTCAGGAAATCCACAACTGTGGTGCTAATCTAACTGCAACAACACAATGGCCGACAAATGTTTTCTTTTTGGGGTTTTTTTCTAGCAAATTTAAGTATAACACATAGATGATGAGTAGGCTACAGTGACACACATAGCACAAAGCATTGCTGCCACTTAATTCTTCTGGTTCACAACTCTCAGGAACCTACCTAAGGAAAAAATACTTCTTACTGAGTATTCAATTATTTTATTATTCACACCTTTGCTTTTCCTGCTGTGACAAAATGCCTCTCTTTCATAGGCTACACACACAAACAACGGTATGATCTTATCCTGTGAATGAAATGGGAAGATATTGGGTACATAAGCTTTTGGACCATGTGTCAAGTATTACATTTGGTTGTGATTGATGTCATTCATGATGAAGTTCTCATGCAATAGTTTGTATCTAAGGCTGATTTCTGAAAATTACTGTCAAACATTTCATGCAATTTTGACTGAAGCGGACACATGACTGCAAGGGCTACATCTGACACAGCGTAAGTCTTAATGACACCAAATTCAGTTCTTAGTTCTCAAGTTAGACCCCGCTCTCCTCTTTGACTCTGTAGAAATCCAAACGTCCTCTTCCCTGCTCTGTTTATTGAATGTAGACTTAAAACTTTGATCTCACGCCATCTCTTAGCTCTCCTCTTCTTGCTCAGACTGGATGTGACCAGTGTGCGAAATCCCCTGTGTGTGTGTGTGTGTGTGTGGGGGGGGGGGGGTTACCTAGTGCTCCAGACTCAATATAGCCCCACAGGATTTCATGGATGTGAGCCAAGGCAATCAACTGGGCTATACACACCATGCACACACTGTGCAGGCTAGACATCTCACTTTACAAATGTATGGTACACAAGTAATGAACTTTGCTTCCTCTTTGACTCACTTCATACACTTGATGCATACCGAGTCGCTATCTTTAACCAAGTATAACCATGATGTCGACGCAGACAAATAACCCACTGCTTTCAAATGTGGCCGTTCGGCTTTCATGGGGTGTCTGCTGTCAATCAAGTATTTTGCACACCTTAAGGCAGCTCATTTTGCAGTTAGCCTTTTGCTTCCAGGTCCCTGTCCTTGTAGCTTGAGTTTTTTTTCCGTCTCATAGTTTTACCTCTGAACAATTGAACGGCCTGCATTGGAATTCACTGTTTCGTACATCCTTGAACTAACAGGAGGATGACCACCATTTCCGACTCATCGCTGCCATCTTGCGTCACTCGTTGATGCTGAAGACTGAGACGGAGGAGAAAACGGAGGAAGCGCACAGGTGAGAAGTCTGCCCTTCACTCTTAATATATTTATCTCTTTTTAGGAAGCTACACCGTGAACATTGGATCAAGGTGCTCTGCACTTTGCAACCTGTGAAACAAAGTGCTTCCACCAACTTGTGTCCATGTTCTGCTGTGATTTGCATGTAAGCAAAGTGAGTGAGAGAGAGCTGCCCCTGTAAATGAAGACTGGTGGCACACGGTCCGATAGCAGGCTGGGGTGTCGTGGGAACAACAGACGTGTTTCTTCAGAGACCTTGCTGGGTGTTTCATATTCCAGATGCTCTTAGCCGTCGTAATACTGCGGCAGTGTCTTCTTCTCCTGGTAATTTAATGCAGGAATGCCAAGAATCCAGAGACTGAAATTTAAACAGTGGCATGTAAAAGAGACTGATGTTTCTCTTGACCTGTCAAGTCATGGGTGTTTGGCCTATTGACTAACCTATCTATTGTTATGTGTTTGAATGTGAATACCGGTTTTAAGTGAGCGGGGAGTGTGAATGGATAATGTTGTATTTTTAGAGAAAACAGCAAAACCACATTACGGCAGGTTTGAGGTGTTTAGATCTAGGTCTAACACGATTTCATCTGTAATCGATGCGTTAGGATTATAAACACACGGAACGTGTTTCTGTTGGTAGAAGTATTTTAAACTTGATATTCAAACTGTTTCTTTATCGCCCCGTGTTAACAGTACTTTATGCACCGCTGCCGGTACACCCTGTGTCTTTGGACAAATAGGGTTTATTACTTTGTTACATTTGGTTGTTTGAATAACATAGATCATTAAATACAATATGGAAATATTGATCAGGCAGGTTTTTGATGTTTATTTTGGGTAAATGAATTGTTGCATTACTTCAGAATATAAAAAATAATTGATGGAAAAAAAGAAAAAATTTTTTTTTTATATATCTTAATCAATAAAAAATACGAGGTGCAGCCCTAAAATTGAGAAGCCAACTTTAAAATCAGTCTGCATCCATCACGCAAGTAAGAAGACGTTTCAGGTTACTGAGCTCTTCTCTTAAGGCGGAGCTACACGATTACTCCTCACAATCATGAGTTATGCGCATAGGAAGAGCTGTAATATTTGGCATTATCACCAGTAATCACCAAAGAAAGCTTTTTACTCCGTAAGCAGTATATTAAACTCAAAACTCGGGCAGCCTTAAAGAATCCCCCAACACTTTATGAAGGTAGGAACTTCCAGTTACTAAACACAGCTGGGGGTTGTGGTAGTAGTGAACACTTCAATTATAAAACTTTATTTCCTGTACGTTGCTCTCCTGACAACATAGATGTGTGTAGATTTAACAGTGCGCCACAGATGGAAGTAAAACTAAATCAACCTTTCACCTCGTGTGAGCCAGATCGCACCCTGAGGTCATCTAGCAGCTCCACATCAGCTGTTCCAACACGTAGATTAAAAACAAGATGTGGTTATTGACTTTGGAACAACTGGTCTCAGGCAAAATGTTCCAAATCTTATCTTTTAATCATCATCTTCACTTATAAACTCTTTGACCTCTTTAACCCAACAGATCCTTTGGCAATCTCATCTCAGGAACTGCTGATCGACTGTTAAATATCAAATATTTTGTAATATACGTCATTAAGAGATTGTTTTTCAAATGTATTTCCAGCCATGCCATCAACCTGCTGAATAACCTGCCTGTGTCCTGCCTGGACATGTTAATCGACGTGCCTGTCCAGGGCGGACTAGAGATATATGGTGGGAAAAATATGGATGCAGTCCAGATGTTAATAGACTTCATGGAGAAAAGGATGGACAAGGTAAAGTTCATCCTCTGCAGCAAATCCATCAAGACAGCTGGCTGTGTACACAGTGAAAATTACATTCAATTATGTTTATGTATTTTATAGTATAGTGCAGGTGATACTAGTGGAGTAAAATGACTTGTTGCAATTGACACTACAGGCCTAGCAGAACTAAAATACACTCAGAACCAGTGCAGGGCCCGTTCACAACATGACACAGCGCTTTACTGCACGTCGTTCCCTTTTTTCGTCCACTCCTCTTGTCTTTACCTCATTATTCTGTATGTCACCCATATGTGCTCCACTGATTAAAACCTTTCCACAGCTTGTGAAGTGTTTGTGGTTTGTGTCACTCCAAGCAGGGCTCCAACTACAAAGAAGGTTTGACTCCGGTGCTCAGCCTTTTGACTGAAGGATCCAGACACCACAGGGAGATCCGCAGATACATCAAAGCTCAGGTACAGTAGCTGCAGACCGATTCAAAAGAGATCATTATAATAAAGTATGTGACACTTCTCATTGAGTTGCTCTTTTAATCTGCACTCCTGAAGTGTTTGAGGAAAAGATTTTAATTACCTTATAGCTATTTAATAATGTGTGTGTCTGCGTGTGTTCATTAGCCAGTTACTATGTTTCCGAGGTGATAATCTGAGCTTTTTATAATGTCTGCACCTTCAGGTACTTCCCCCACTGAAAGATGTAAAGATCAGGCCAGAGATCGGCACCACCACCAGAAACAAGCTGGTTCGCCTCATGACACATGTTGACATGGGTGTGAAGCAGACGGCTGCAGAGTTTCTCTTTGTCCTCTGCAAAGAAAGCGGTGAGCAGTGGTCGGGTCATGAGAGCAACATGGGGTTCAGCACAGTCACATGAGAAAGAGAGAGCAGGAATGACGTCTCCAGTTGGGTGCAAAGGATGAAGGAGTGAACTGCCAGATTGCACGATTGCTGCATAACTGTAACAGCAGCTCGGCTCGTGATCACACGTGAACATTTATATGTAACTGCACAACCTTTGGTCTTTGTGGTGTCTTGTAGTGGACAACCTGTTGAAGTACACAGGGTACGGAAACGCAGCAGGACTCCTGGTGGCTCGAGGACTTCTCGCAGGAGGGAGAGGAGAGACTCAGTACTCCCAAGACGAAGACTCCGACACAGAGGAATACAAATCTGCTAAACCGTTGTGAGTGCTCTGCACAGGTCTTAGAAGATTAGTACATGTTAGTACATGTTAGTACATGTGAGCCCGCCCCACTGGTTTGCCCACGGCTGCATGTCGAGAGCCGTCGAGAGGCAATCAAAATGCTCCCAATCTCGGATCTTGCACCTTTTTTAATCTTGCACATCTGCTTGTTCCAGCATCAACCCGATCACCGGTCATGTGGAGGAGCCGATGCCGAACCCCATCGAAGAGATGACCGAAGAGCAGAAGGAGTACGAAGCCCAGAAACTTGTCAATATGTTCGACAAGTTGTCGAGGTATATACACAAACTAGAACAGACGCGGAGAGCAAGTAACTGTTCAGGGACTGCAGAGTTTATTTCAGTAATAATACTGTAAAGGTTTTAAAAGTTTTTTACAGGAGCACTTGTGTTTTTTTTGGGGGGGAAATAGACAGTAGAGAGTTGACAGGAAATGAGGAGAATAAAAGGAAGGAGAAAATGCAACAAAGTTCAATCAAATCTGATCAACAGAATCAACAAACAGAAATCAATATATATCTGAAAATCTTCTTTGTTGTTAACAATCTAAACAACACAAATGTGTTTACAACTTAAGACACCACAGACGTCTTTGCACAAGAAGCACAATCCATTATTTGTCAAAGGCTCGACTACGATCATTAACTTTTTCAGTTTGAACAACTTCCCCTGCTCAAGGTATTCATATTATTCATTGTCCCGGCTGTATTTGTGTTGACCTTTTCTTAGTGAGCAGAGGCTCACGTTAGTCGAGCACAATGCCTTTACAAAGGTAAGGGTGAGCATACTCCCTACCAACCGATTCATCAAAGGAAGAATCTCTTGCCGTGAGCTGCGGCTTCAATTAGGCCCGGACTTCCTGCACGCCGCAGCATTCAGCCAGAGTAAATGGAAGCTGCCGGCACGCCACTGCAGCATCATTACCACAGCTCCGTTAATTATCGCCTAATTGGGACACAAAGTCGGCTTGACGGTCCTGGTTCCTTTATCTGCCACATTCAGGTTTTTTTGATGACACGTGTCCTGACTTTATTGTTGTCATTCTGAGGAGCCACTCATTGGCCAGACAGGGAGTGGGCTGAGACAGAGGCACAACTAACAACAAAGCAATTTGGGTGGAACGTGGACGAAGAGGAAGAGACAGGGGGTGAACAGACATAAGTACGCTGACCTCGTTATTGTTAGGCCAAATAGAGGGTTGAGCTGTAATGAGGCACGTGTGCCCAGGAGAGGAAGATTCCTTTCCGAGGCTGCAACTTCTTTCTTCTCTTCCTGATGATGACGGAGAGGTGCTTCCTCGGTACAGGCTCTAAGGAGATCAGTCAGAGCCCTGTAAGAATGTGCCCCCCTAACTGCTTAACTGGTCCTCCAATTAGCACATATTCTGCACCGCAACCCACCCCCTCTCACATCTGCCAGTCCTCTGTCACTGCTGAGCGGGAGAGGAGGGAATATTTGTGCGCTAATTGGGAGAGATAATGTAACATATTTTTGTTTGCGTTGTCTTGTTAGTCCTCATTTTACCTGCTGACTCTAACCAGTGATATAAGGCTGTGGACTGTGACCTCCTTTGAAGGTTTTATCACTGAAAAGATTTTCTTTCTTTTTAAAATGCTGGAATAGTTTCAGATTCAGCCCCACCGCAGCTCTCCTCCAGAATCTAGAACTTAACCTGCCGTTTTCTAAGGATAAGTAACGTTTAATTGGAGGAATCAGTGGGAATTACGTGGCCGTTTAAATTTGAACTCTTTACAAATGAATGCCAATGGGTCCTTTTTTTTTTTTTTTTTTATATCTGTGGTAGATAATTCTCTGATAAATCATCTTAGAGGAAGTGGTGACACACAGAACAGGTATAATTGGATTAGGATGAAGGGGCAGCCGTGGCTTTGAGGAGATTAGTTTGAGTGCTGATCCTGTAATTAATCTGCCAGAAGGAGGAGGAGGAGGAGGAGGAGGAGGGGGAGCAGCAGGAGGGGAGAGAGGGAGAGAGGATGGCCAGACGGGGGCAAGTGTCCTTGAAGGGGAAGGGGGGGGGTCCTTCAGTTCTCGATGTAAAACTAAAAGCCCTCTTAATACTGTCCGTTGATAGGGTCGTGAACAAAGTTGGGTTTTGTTTACATTGGAAATAGCATTGATATGTTTCACCTTCCTATCGAACCTTTTCTATCCAGCAGGGGGAAAGCTGATGTTTTTCTTCTTGTGTCCACAGGCAGAACGTGATCCGGCCAATGGGGGTCAGGCCTGACGGGACGTTAGCGCCTCTTGAAGAAACTCTCTGTGATCCACCTGAGGACTCAGGATCAGACTCTGACTAGTGCAGTTCACATGGAGGCCACATTTTCCAGGCAAAGCCCACTTGGCCCCAAAACATCTGGAGCTGTGTCCTATTTCAAGGTCTGGACCTTTTTGAAGAAGGTCCACATGACGGTGGGTCAGCCAGAGGCCATAACCTCTGGCTGAACCAGTCTACCGTTACTGAGCAAGAGTAGCAGAAGTCAGTCAAAAGATCCACACGCTGTACCGATACCTCCCAATAAATTATACTCTATTAACTTAAACATGCAGATATCCGTACAATGTGTGGATCTATAGTCGGCACTAATCGAGGGGTGACCCCCGAATAGTCGACGATTCAATCTAAGGAGCTTGGAGCCGTCGTAGTGACAGAAAAATGTGGTAAAGAATCAGAGGGTCATTTATAAATAGCACTATTAACTACCAACGCTTCTCTAAAATCAGCTGTTTGCGTGCGTGCGTTTCTCTCCCGTTGACTGTCCCTTCACTTCCCTGTCTTTTCACTTCTGTCTGTTGATTGTCACAATGGAGAAAAATAAATTTAAAACCGAAAAAATTCTGTTTTCAACCACAAAAGGCAAGCAGGATAAGAATCCCTGTCTCCCCGTCTATCGATCTCCGCTCCTCGTCAGCTCTACATACAGCTCCACAGCCACACTATATTCCTATAGATGCATAAAGTTCAAACAGAGTGGGATCAATGAGCAACAAAAGAAAGACGTGATTCTACAATCAGCCGACTAAAGATTTAATTTGACAATATAAATTCTGAGTCGGGGACAACCTTAGACTACTGTTACAGAAAACCCAAGTAATGCTGGAAGTCAGGAGGAATACCGGCAACTGTGACGAGGTTTGTGATTGCTGAGTTGACATTTAAACGTTAACGTTGGAGCAGGAAGACGTCCTCCAAAGTGGACTTGATGCACAGGAGGCCTCCGTGGCTACTGTTGCACCTTCCGCTCCCTTAAGTTGGAAATAAAAATAGAGGTAATAATATAATTCTCTGCTGGATCGTATGCATCTCACTGAAAGCACTGTTGTGATGGGTTAAGTGTCACGAGGTCTGAAAGTCATTCCTTCACTTATTACGCTTTAGTTTTTCTTTTCTTTTTTACGTTTCACTTATTTTTCCTGCTACATGATGATTTTGTCCACACTGTATTTCTAGATGATTGAAGTGCACACACACACACACACACATTTAAACATGAAAACATTGAAAACTGTTCACAGCGAACGTAGTAACTGTTTTTAGATCACGGGGCCTGTGTCCTGTGTGGACCAAAGGATTGATGTTCCATATATATTTAGAGATCAGAGTCCCTGTGGACAGATTTAACTTGCAGCTCACGGTATCGTTTCCATTCACATATTTCTACGAGCGTTTTGAATTATCACGTGAGAGAAGCTGACGAAGGTTTTACACTTACATGAGGTTGTTTCTACCTTTTGTTGGAAAAGAGTTAATGTGATAAACGGTTCATAGAAACACTATTGCTGAATCATTTTTGACTTTTAGTTCACACGACTGATTAGCTGTTTCCACTTCTCTGATATTCCCGTAACGTGTTAATGCTGATCTTTATATATGGACATCATAAAACATGGCAATAGTAGCTGACATGAAAGAACATTTAAAACGTGCCCAACTGAAACAGATTCCTGTTTATCGGTCTACATTTTTCATCGTAGGGTTAGATAGCGAAGGAGACTTGTTTACTGGCACATTACAGCCTCGGGGAGCCTATGGAGCCGACTTCTGACCAAACGACGCTGTAGCCGAGTTTATTTGCTCCAAACTAGTCAATGGAAACGCTTGATTTGCTGTCCTCTCTTCTTTGAGATCTGTTTGAAAGTTGAATGGAAACGGGGCCGGTTGTTTGTTTGCGTGATTATCAGTTAGTCGGAAACCTTCTGAATTCAGGGCTTGTTGGTTTACTGTTGTGTCACTGGGAGGTGGTTTTTCACTTATGTCCATAAATAGAGAGATTCAGCATTTGTGGCGTATGATCGTAAACAGATGTTTCTTTGTGTTGGTACAATTTAGTTTAATGTGAAAGCTGCCAGTTTCTGAAAAAAAGCTGCATGTTTGTTACAACTTCACAACAGTTTGTTGTATTATAACAAACTGCTGATTACAATCCAGAGAAAATAAATATTGCTTTTACCAGAGAAGATGTCATTACTACAAGAATCTGTGACGCTTCATACGTTTAACAGTGAACTATCATGAGCACACTTTCTGCCTCCTCAGACTCTACACAATTAAGTAGAATAACGGGAATAATTCAAACACCAGCACAAAAGACTTCTTGACGCACCTTCTTGAATTTTATGATTTCATGCAACTAATCAAATGTTTTTATGCCTTTAGCGACAGCCGAGGCGGGAGACATAAAAACACAAATGATGAACCGATTAGACTTCAGGGGTCAAAGCTAAAACAAAGTCCTATTCTTGTGAACGCAACATCTCCGCTCACAGTGACCTCAGAAAAAATGAATGTATAACAGGATCAAATGAAGCAATGACATTCTGGACAGACATGGAGGCAATCTGCAACTTGACTGGTTGGTGAAGGGATCAGCTGTGAGGTGGTAAATCTAGTCTGACATTTTATACTAATTATGCCTTTTGTGACATCTTTATGGTATACTGTGTTTGACATATAGTATGATCCTTTAACATTTGTATGGCATGCTGTACTACAATGTTTACACAAAGATGCAACACTGACTTTTAGGACATTTTTTAATGGCATACTTTATTACAATTTTTGTTAATGACTTATGAAGCTATACTATGTTTTTTTTAATAATGACTTATATGGCATATTATGCTATGATTTTTGTACGATGCTGTTTATTACACTCCTGACTTAAGACATACAGCCCTAAACCCGTTCCTGGGAACCTGACTGGCCCTGGGAGGTGCTCGTTCTTGGGGACTCGCTTGGCTGTTTCTCCAAGATATTTAGGGGTCTGAGCACCATAAAAGGAAGCGTGGGTCTCAGAAACATTGATTCTCCCCCCTCCCTCCCTCCCCAGGCTGCCCAGAGCCACCAAGCCTCAGCTACTCAGCTACTCAGCTCCACAATAAACACCCAGCCACACCCAGTTCCTGCATCAGGGGTCCCAGCCGACATCAAGCCCGTTTCTGAGTCGGCAGTCCGGCCGCCGCCTGTTCTGTTGAGCTAAAGCCGTCAAAAGTTCCCTTTCTTGGCCCTCAAGTCTCCAAGGCCAAGTTCCTACAGCGCTTCTCGCCTTTGACGTCGGCCACATGGAACTTTCATATTAGAATTGAAAGCTCCACTTCACTTGAAGTAGAAATTTGAATGCAGGACTTTCACTTATGTGGCGAGACTTCCACTGAAATGTTAATAAACTGGAGAAGAAGAATAGCTGATGTTTTTGAACCCAAACTACAGAAACTTTATTTTTTTTTTTTTTTAAAGGACAAAAGATTCAATTTACACAATACTTTCATTGAATAGTTTAAAATACAGTGTTGTGCTGATATAAAACATTAACAGGTTTACTGAAATGGGATGTAGAAAACACCTGAAGAAGCATCAGGATGTGTGGGGCCTCATATATATATTAACTAGTGTTCTGGATGCACCCTACTTCTATAATAAGTGCTTTAATTATGGTTGTTGACAAACAGATTATTTGGTTTACATATGAACAAACTGACACACTGCGACTCCCAGATGAAGAGGTAAGATGCACTTTCACTCCAATGCACACAAACGAAAACCCTTTGCTACGAGCAGAAGATAACCAGACGAAAAGTAACGTGTGTGTATAGAAACACCGGAGAACAGTCTTCGTGCAAACTAAGGAGAGAAGAAACTCTCTCAAACCTTTCCAGTGCCATCGTTTATGCAACATGCAGCGTCAGTTGCTCCGGCAGGATGATGCCGAGCTTTTGCTGTCGGTCTCTGAGTCCGTCTCCTCGCCGCCGCTGTTGGATGCTCTTTGACCTTCTGGTCCGGACTTTAATGTTTCCGTTCCACCTGGAGGCTCTAGAGCTCCTCTGCTCTGACAAGATGTCTGTCCGCTCACTGACGGGCTGCTAATAAATGGAGGGATGCTCTGCAGAAAGGGAAATTATTGCCATAGTCAGCAAAATTGTTTTAAAAACAGGAACCACAGACCATTAAAGGGGAACTCCAGAAATTTTACACATCAAAGTCTGTTGGGTAGTACTACTGCATATGTGAATAAAGGCTTTCTGTGAAATCTGGTACTTTGGAGTCAAAAGAAGTGGATTACAAGTCCCTTGTAGCCCACTCATCATCTTTGCTTGAGCCTTGAGACAATGTTATAGGAGTGTAATGCTACATCAGTGGAGTACTCTAAGTATCTATATATGTAAACATCACCGCTGGGCTGTGGTCCCCACTTTCCCTTTGGCATTCACAAAAGGTACGGTTAAGAAAGAGCCCAGAGACTTATAACTCCTTGCATAACCTGCAACGAGTTTTTGTTAAAAAGGCCCAGTGTTTAAAATGTAACCGACCCGTGTTTCCTGACTCCTCATCAGCTCCTCAATCTCATCGTTCCAGCCGAGCATTTCAGCAAACCTCCGCACCGTATCCTCCAGGTCACCAAGCTCCATGTGGTCTCCTCTCCGCAGTGGGACCTTCTCAAAGGGACCCACGGCGTGTCGGTTCAGGAGGAGACGTGGTACAGTGGAGCGCACCGTGTTCACCAGGCTCGCAAATGGCTCAATCTGAAACAATGACATTTTGTAAAGATATTTCTGAGCTAGGGGGGTTTATCTGCTCACTAAATGTACTAGAAGCCATTTTAAGTACTAAATACAGATATTAGAAGACGTCTACCTGTAGAGAGGTGCCCATAATGATTAGCAGGTCTGCTTTGGGGAAGTCTTTAGTGTGGAGGAAATAATTTTGAGGAAGATCCTCTCCAAAAAATACAACGTCAGGTTTGACTGTTGCAGCACAGAATGTGCATGTGGGGACGTTGCCAGTCATTATGGCATGCTGCAAAACAAACGAAAGAATAAGACGTTACTCCGGCAACAAATGCAGTGAATTACTGTATTCAATTTGAATGTTTTTTTGAGCATGTGTTCAGACATACCTTAGCCTCCTCAGCAGGGTACGCAGTATAGCACAGGTGACAGGCAGCCGTGGCAAAACTACCGTGAGCTTCCACAAGTTTGTCATCTGGGACGCCACACACTAAACAAAGTTATTAAATATTACAACGGACGTTAAGAGCAAACAAGGAGATCCATTTTGAGAAACAAAACGTGGATAGGGTAGCTGTCAGTACTACACAACACATCCAGTCTCCTGGTGGTGCGTTTGGGGACATACTGTACATAGGACTGCTGTCATGTTTTCATTATACTGATGGTAATTAACTGGTATAGTGTCCTTGATAAATAAACTCACGTTTCTCCAGTCCGTCGATGTTCTGGGTGTACATTCGGAGCAGCAGGCCTTTGTGATGAAGCATGCGGACAAAGTAGTGTATGTAGTTTGGTCGGTGGCTGCCAGGATACAGAGCCTTGGCAAGGGAGAAGAAAGGCTGCGGGTCGTTGGAGAAGTAATCAATGTTGAAAATAGCTTCCGGGTAAGGGATGTTGTACTTCTCCAAGTTGGCGTAAAGACCTGTTGCTGGAGTTCTGAAAATATCGGCATTTTGGGCATTAAGATGATGCTTTTATTAAAGAGCAGCTCATGGTAAGTGTCTTTCTCATAATATTTTCCTTGACGGTTGCCATGTCCACTTAACAGGTTTACACTTGAGGTAGAAAGACTCATTTAATCGTAAAGAGAAATGTGAGGATGAGGGTGTGGAGAGAACAAAATCCACAGACACCAACCTGAAGTCTGGGATGCCACTGGCTGTGCTGATTCCTGCTCCGGCCACCACCACCACGTTCTTACAGCGGCCGAGCTTCACCAGCCGAGCAACAGAGGCTAGACCGCCCCGGGATGAAGACTTGGCAGCTAATGCAGACGGAGTGCCCCGACCAGATCTGGACCCAGAGGACTGACCAGCCTGCGCAGGGTCACTGCTACTTTTGGACATCTTTCCTTTACTGGAGAGTAGGACAACAGAAGACATAAACACCTTGATCCCATATGGGACAGTCCCCGACATAACTATTTTATATTACATAGTTAATGTATAAAGAAGGGTAGAACATTACTTGCAGATTGTCTGTCTGTTAATCCATTCTATGGCTAACTCGGGTACTGCATGAGCAGCAACAGTTTCAGAAAGACGTTGACGAAAAGAGCTAAATATTGAGATAACAAGTGGAAAGATGCCTGAATGATATTTTAAAAAAATCCGGCATGAGGTCTCACATGACAAGACCTTGGGTTTAAATGCAGGACCGAAGAATAAAAGTTTTAACTTCTTTCCTACTGCTTAAATTGTTTTTATTTTTAGCCATGCTAGTGGTGTGGCTCTTAGGATGGCAATGTCAAGTTCCAGTCATATCCTCCACCTCTTTGATCCAAAGTGAAATATCTAAATGTTCAAATGTTCATGCTCCCTAGAGGATGAAGTCCGCAGACTTTGGTATTCCCCTGACCTTCCTCTAGCACCACCAGCAGTGACACTTTTCATGTGAAATGTTGTGCTCGACAGACTGGCACAAAATGTTGTCCAGACATTCATGGTTCCCAGCTGATGAATCCTATTGACTGTTGTGGTTCCCTGACTTTTCCTCTAGCGCCACCATCATTGTATCAGTGTATTGGACATTTGATTTGTCCAATACACTGGCTCCAACCAGATAGCTGCAAAAATCATGATATTCCCATCAGTCTCAGCTGTACTTTGTGTTTGGTGCCAATTGGCAAATGTTGACAAACTAAGATGGACAGGAACCCGTGTGTAGCTATCTGGCACAGAGTCATACGAGAACATACTCTATGTCTGTTGACATATGTTCAAAAGCTTATGATCCTCTAAAATCTGGGACCATTTTAAATATATATTGGAGCAGACATTGCTTCCACTCCATCCTGGGGATTTGTACCTGAGATGCCTGTGGTTTGTTGCATGTATGTATGTGGGTATTAATTTATATGCATGTGCGTGTACTTAATATTGTGCATGCGTTTTGTTTTTTTTGTTTGTCAGTGAGGCCACCTGCTCTTATTTATGTTCTCATATTTGATCGCTATAATGTTTCCTAATCCTTATCATTTATAGAAAATAAAGTAAAAGTTATTGCAATATGTCCCTACCTTGTAGGTAAACTGTCCTGTCTGCTCACACTCATCTGACTGAGGTCCTGGGCCAAAGCAGAGTCTGTCTGCTTCCTCCGTAGCTTTCCATAGGGACCGGGCCCAGCATCCTGGGTCTCTGCAGGGTCGGTGTGCCTGGTCTGGGAGCTGGAGCTGCGGGTCATCCTGGTGACTGGAGACTGGTGGACTTTTTTATCCCAGCTGGACTTGGACCTGTTCATCCCAACACCTGTTGTCAGCAAGAAAAACAACAACAATTCAGCCTAAATGAAACATAAATCTCTGTTTATGAGCTTTTATACACGTTTTATGTCCTCTGTGTTATCAGCACAACAATGTTTTATTTTTAGATGTGCATTTTCAGTTTTTTCTAACCCCACTAATTAGATATTGACTTGTTTTCAATGACTTGTTTTCCATTTGCTCCCCCTCCTTTCCCTCCATCTCCAGTGTCCCATATTTAAAAAGCTGTTACACTGAAATCATCCTTTTCTCTTCACTCCCTTTGCACAGAGAGGATCTGAGATGTTTTAAAACTGTCAACTGTTGAACAAAAGGTAATGGCTGCAATATATCTAGCAACCCCCCCCCCTCTGCTCCTCAGCAGCTATGCTAATACAGTCCACAGCTGTGGCAGCTTTACTGTTCAGGGAAAGCGGAGGGTAGAGCTGAGGGGTGGGGAGTTAAAAAGAGCGGTGGCAGAGGTGAAAGGGAACTGTAGATTGACTGTGTGTCAACAAACCCAGCTGGGTGAGAAAAGAGGATGCCCCCTAACGGCCCCCTCAAACCGAGGAAAAAAAGGAGGGGGGGGGGGGGTCTAGAGATAAATGATACAGAGGCAGGATTCAATAAAGATGGAACAGAGGAGTAGGACAAGAGGAGGAGGGGGGTTTCTTTTCCAAAGCTATTCTAGGCCTTCAAAAAACTTCCACGAGGAATGAGTGTGAGTGATCAGGCCGAGGCAGCGGACAAGGAAACAAAAGAGCTACAACCCATAAAACATGACCGCTTCAGAGGGCAGCAGGGAGATAAGGCCAGCTTTTCTCCAGAAGCACCTTATCGCCCTCCGGAGGGGACAAGAGAGGAGAGAAGGGGTCACTGAAGGCTTACGGAGCAAAATGTGTTATTACCAGGCTTAAAGCTGATGCACACTTTGGCTTCCAACAATAGACAACCCTTTGAACCGTCTTAAAAATCTAACATTGTCCAGCATACTTTTATTTTAGGCACTCAATCTTCTTTCACTTTGCCTCCTTAAAGGCTGAAGCCCCCACATTACTTCTGGTTTTCCCTCCCTGCACATAGAGAACCATTAACACAGCGGGGTGAGGGTCTCTGCTTTTGTCTGGACTCCTCTCAAACAGAGACCGCTGAGTAAAGGCAATAAATCACCAGCACAGTTATTAAAGGTCTCACTCAGATGTTGAAGCGTATAGCAGCAGATCCTCTAATCAGATAAAGTTACACATGCAGAAAAAGCCATGCACACAAATCACCAACATGACCTGGAACAACAGATGTAGAACACAGGTGTATTCCTCCTTGGATATTATGGATTTACTCAATTAAGAGGAGAAACGTAAATATCTAGAGAAAACACAACAGTCAGTGTGTCTGCAGAAAACTGGAGCGGGGCGGAGGAAGCAGCAGGTGTTCATAACAGAGCAACAAACGGTAATGCTGGACTTCAGCAACAACCTAAAACTAACTAAAGCCGGTGTTACTTTTTTTATTTATTTCCATTAAAAACTCCCATGCATAGACGAGAGCAAACTGCTTTTCAGTGTGTTAAATGTCCACTTCTTTTCTCTGATAAAAGTCTAGATGTGATACTATTATCATTCTTTAATGACGAATAAATCCCTGTATGAATGACAAAAGGCTTAAAAAGGATTTGAGAGCCCCCCCCTCCCTTTTATTTGGCCTTTCACACTGCTTGGTCTCGCAGCTCTCCCCAGTCGAAAAGATGAGCGTGTCCCAGTGCCAGACCACCAGGAGTGTAGCTGCTCATATGAGGGTTACAGTTATCTAATTAGGACAGTCCTGCAACACTGGGAACACCTCGGTGCTCGCCATTACCACACCAACAAGTCAGGCTAATGGATAATCCTTCTACAACCTCAGAGGCCGGGAGGCAAACGCCAGCTAAGAGCAGCTGGAGAAAAGTTTGTGTTGAAACAACAAAAATGCAACAGCATTGACATCTACCGCTCAACACAGAGCAGAAGACGCTCAATTGCAATACCCAGTGAAATGCCCTTTACAATTTTACGACATCTTGAAATGTTAAAATGACTTGTTTTGTCCAACCCACAGCCTGTTTGTTACTACCACGTCGCCATTTAGCTTTTTTACTTTGATAAACTCAAAAATTGTTATTTATCAAAATTGTTAAAACTATTTTCGGTTGATTGACCAATCTAAATTTTCTTTTCTTTTTTGGGTTAACATATGAAAACAACAACAATCATGATTTCAACAATACATCCACAGGACTGCAATCCTAAATGCATTTATTTGGTCTCATTTATAAAGTATTTAACATGTGTATATATGTTCAATAACACGTGCATAAGATGACGTTTTGATTTGTCAAACGTATATCTCTTCGACCTGTCTGGTTTGATATAGGGCGATGGAGAAACAGCAGTAAAAGCTGCTCAGGAATGTTCATTGAAGGACAAATGTGCTCTTCTCACGATGTACAGATCAGGTCTACTGTAGATCAGGTCTAGATCAGGTCTACTGTAGATCAGGTCTAGATCAGGTCTACTGTAGATCAGGTCTAGATCAGGTCTACTGTAGATCAGGTCTACTGTAGATCAGGTCTAGATCASGTCTACTGTAGATCAGGTCTATTGTAGATTAATAGATTGTCATTCATAAAAAGTGAATCACTGGAGATTTGGTTAAGTTAAATGACGGGCTTTTCCCCTCCACCTACAGTAGAAATTAGGAGACTTTGATCTCTACCACACACACACACACACACGCCTGGTCGCCATGGGGACCTCCTCATAGCTGGAGAGAGCTCGATGTCGTCCTTCCCCACCTGCTCACTAATGACATCACTCCGTGTAGCACCTTTGTTGGACTCTCAATTGACACAAAGCAGTGAGTCCTAATTTGTGTTAGTGTATTGTTTGCTCACACAGAGGGGAAGGTGGGCGGTGGAGAGCCGACTCCGCACAGCGGGTCGATGGTTAACTAATGTCTCCTCTTGTCCCGTTAGTCCTCTGAGGGCTTTACCAGCCCGACATTAAACACCAGTCTAATAATGGGCTGTGATGTTATTGTACAACCGTGTAGATTCATTCAGAGAACGGGATGTGAAGATAAACACTGAGAGCACAGGTCCACTCTCACCCCGACAAAAACCTGAAGTCACCGCTCACAATAGCAGATAATGACATTAAAAACAAGCAATGTAACAGGAAACAATTAAAGAAATAAAGTCATCGAGGGCAGCAAATAATCTGCTAGTTATTTGTTAGACTAATCGAGGAAACGTTTAGTCTCAAAAACGTCAAATGTTGCTTGTTTTGTAAAGCCCAATGATGATAATAATAATATGTATTTATATTATTATTAACCTTTACAAATGATAATCATCGATATACATTTTAATAATAAATAAAAACATAATAAAAATAATAAAAACAGGATAAAAGCCACGAATCAAAAATGTTTGAAATGGTTGTCTAACAAACGCCTTTAACGATAAACTGTTAATTAAAACAGTCTTTTAAAGTTGGGTTTAGTTGTCAAATGACTAAATGATTAATGAACTAATCGTAGGCTCATACTTGGTTACAGAATGGGCCTTTAACAGTGGCAATGAGATAAAAAGGGCCATCACCTCGCCCGGAAGCAGAGCTCGTTGTTAAAGGCCGTAACAGTGTTTCTTAACTATGTGTGACAACATCTAGTTTCTCTGGATGTGCAGCGCTGAAAGAACAGGACAGAAGTTGACTTGCAGTCAGTCTCGGGTCTTACAGAGGATTCACTAAAAGTGAGGAGACACTGGCACCCGCTGGAGACGAAATCTCATTACACTTGAAAACCGTCGACCCATTTTGCAAAACAACCAAAGCCACATGCTCCGTGGTAATTGTAACGGACTTATATATGATCACTCCATTCATTACATTATTGTGTGTATGTATCATACATCTTTATTTAAGAGATGAAGCCTTGGATTTAGTAAGACAATGTGCATTATGGATCCAGCTATAATAAAAGATCCCCTCCAGACACAGTCTAAGACACAAACAAATACTCTTTATAGAATAATAATTGTTGTTTGTTTTTTTTATCAACAAGTTAGATTACCTTGTTAAGATTTATTAAATTTACATCTTCTATCTCATTGAAAAATCCATGATCTGAATACTACTGGACACGAGATGTCTCCATTCTCAATGTATTTGCCTCTAGTTATTATGTCACAAATCCCGCTCGTGCCGACATGTCTGATATTTAAGGCAAGCACAGATAAACTTAACGCTTTCAGCATACAGGGAATATGAAAACAGCCCTCTAGTGTCAATCTCTGCTCATAAAATGTTACTGCACAGTGAAGCTCAAAAGTCCAAGTGAAAGGCAAATAAGAAAAACACATTTCGGACTGGAGGGCTTTAAACTTAATGGGATAACAGCTGATCATTAGGGGACTCAGACTGAGTCACGTGAGGTAAACAGGCTCAGGCTCAAACGATCAAAACATGAAATATAAATAAATAAAAACACCAGCATCTAGGAAACCTTTAAAGACGTATGTGGGCTAGTTCCACTCTGAAGGAAGTCACTACTAAGAGGTGGTCGTCCACGTCCTCAGATCTATAATAACAGGTAGTACAGGTACAGAGAAAGGGGTTCACGTCACGGTGGTTAGCTACCTGTCTGTCCAGACGGCGGTACTTTTGAATGCTGCGCAGAAGACGGCGACACACAGACACACAGACACACAGACAGACAGCAGAGTTTGTTGAGCCGCTCGAGATGTTTCACATCCAGAAGGAAACTCGCTGAACTTCTTTATCACTAAACTCTGAGCTTGTAACCTCACAGCCGCTGCAGCCAGGTCAGCATCTGATTCAGAGGCACTAAAGGTGTCTCGTCCTTCTCAAATGCATGCGCCTCATCTACATGCTGCCTAAATCGGGAGTTTTCAGAGGAGAGAACTCTCACTCTGCTAGTATTTCCGGGTATCAAATAAATCATTGCAAATACAGGCGGGAAACAAGAGTCGGAGTCACGCGGTGCTAAGTTTCCGCTTTCCATAACACAGTGATATTGAATATAGGCCTTTTTCACAGCAGATATTTTGACTTGTCGTAATTTCATGTGTATTTTTTATATTTTTTTATAGAATTCAGTGTCTATATTTTCTATAAAGTGTGTATTTATTTGCATACAGTGTGTCTTTTGCATATACAGTAGTGTGTGTTTTTGTGTGCGGTTATTTTGGTTGGTAATCCAGTCATCTCTACATTAATACATGTTCTACATATCCAGATGGTATTTGATTCTGTTCTGTTTCTTAAATACTATTCCGCGACACCTCCACATCAGAGAGACGATCTTTGATTTAGAGCCATGTGCGTCACTTCCGCTTTGAGGGGAGGATGTTGTTTTGGTGTTTTCGGTCCAGTGTCCTCTCCCGCCAAAGTGATGCCCAGGGGCCCTTTCCAAAATAAACCCTCTTATCTTTTCTGATTACTACACCCTGCGATGCTTCCCACAGTTGTTCATAATCATCACCAGGACATCTACACTCATTCTGAATTAAACAAAAAAAAAGTACAATAAAAGCCCCCGTGTTAGTGCAGGATCTAAAATACTGAACAACAATAAGCTAACCAGACAATAACAACTATACAGTGCCTAAATGCACATGTGGTTTTGTAAAGGCAGCCAGCAGCTGGAGCTTCGTCCTCTGTGTGTTTGTATGGGTGGAGACTGAGGTCCTCCTTTAAAATACAGTCACACAGACATCACAAGTCAGCGTAACCACCAGCAGCTACATCATCAGAGTCCGTGCAGCCTGATCAGTATTACTGTGGGCAGAAAGTCCCGCACATAGCGCACAGTGACGTTACAGTGGATCACATAAAAAGTAAGGTAAGTGCTAAATTAGCTCGTTTTTGTTTCCGTTTGTGTACCGAGAGTCAGCGATGAGAGCGTGTGGAACCACACAACACTGAGCCATAGTATCTGGATAATCAGTTTCAACGCAAACTCCCTCGATCGTGAGTGTGTAATCGGGACAGAAATGTAAACGCTAATGAATGTCGATCGAGCTGCGGTGGAAGGAAGATCGTTTAAGCGCCGTTCAGTGTTTCAGGGGAGACGTGACGTGTCTGATGAGCTAATTATGGCGACTAAAGACAAAACAACCACGTAGTTCCGCGTGTTAATTACAAGTCCAACCCTTCCTGTCTCTCACGGTGAGACAGCACCGATTGTTACATTCGACAAACTTGTAAGCAAGTATGTTTGAACTGCCTCTCGTTCGACGTTATAGCTCAAGTTAACGTCCACGGAAACGCAGTCTGCCACGAAACTAATGCTGTAGGTTAGCTAACGTTACGTAGCACAAGTTTTACATGCCGACTACTTATATTCATATATTTAATTTGAACCTAACACGGATGTATACATGGTGATAATGCTGTTTACCCATCAGTTAATGTCACCGCAGCTGCCACGCGCGCTCCTTTCTTCATTGTTTACTCAATAAACGTTATGACTGAAGGAATAACACTTTCGTCTGAGCAGTTTTCATAACTTCATAACAAGGCACCATTGACTTTGCAAGGACAAATATGATATGGAGATTCCTTCAAAATGATTCCTTCAAACTGTCAGTTTATGACTTTGTTTATTTCTGTTTCCCAAAATCCAGAAGAAGACTCCTATCTTCAAATTTTAGTTTTTCAGCATCGGTTGTTTTAGGTTAAGATATCCTGTGTTTATCGTGTGTTTTTAACAGCTCTGTGGCAGACCGTGAACAGGTCTGCCTTGTTTAATCAGCAGTACACTTAAAGCAAGCTCCTGTTATTGTCCTTACACACACACACACACACACACACACACACACCTCCCATCCCTAGGTATTTACTTTAAAAAGGCTTTCTCTACAGACTGTCAGCATTTTCTCTTGTAATGACATATGGAGCTTATAGCCTTGTCATACTTATAGTGTGAACGTTACAGCAGCTCATACATGTACAAAGTAGAACAAGGAGCACATTTTAAGGGATAAAATGAAAACCAAAGTCTTGTTTCTTTGTTCTACTGTTGCTCTCTTATCATGCAATACATAAATAAACACATGGATATATATATACAACAACAAGCACAGGCACATATCTCTTACAGGGTGAAGATCATAACAGAAATTACACAAAGATGGCAGGGGGGAAACCATTTCATGTTACACAGAATCTCTTTCCCTGTAGTTCCCCAACACTGCATATCTTTCATTCATTATGTATCACTGTGTCTGTGGGTGACTGTGTCATTTGTTGTTGCAGAGAGATGAGTCAGGCAGAGCAGGTGCCTGAGGACATGCCTGCATACCTCAATGATGAGCCAGTGGCTGCAGGTACGTTTAGTTGCGACGGTCGGTTTATTGACCCCAGTGTGTTCAAAGGTTTTGGATCCTGTTTTCAGAAAAAGACCTAGACGTGCGACAAATTATATGGAAACACGATTCTGAATTTCACATATGGGATTAGCTGTTTCTGCAGTAATCAGCTTCTGGTAAAGTTAATATGTGCAGATTCAATAGTTTGGTATTCCTATAAGGCAGAACTGTGTCCGTCCTTTACTAAAGACAGTTTAACTGTTCTGCTCTTTGGCAACTTATTTATCAATATTGAAAACAATCGTCATTTGCAACCCTACACGACTAATTATTACTTTTATAAAATGTTTTCAAACATTCATGCTTTCCTCTTTAGTCACCAATTGTATTGTAGATATGGTGTATTGCAACGAGCATGCGAGCATCTAAACTGAGTAGAGAAGAAACCTTGTTTAATGTAGCACTGGAATGAGCAGTTGAGCAACAACAACTTCTGTTATCGATTAATCATGAAAGCAACAGTATTAAACATTTGCAGCTTCTCAAATGTGAGGATTTTATCATTTTCTTTGTTTTTACATTATTGTAATTGAATACCTGAGTGATTTGAAGCTGGCAAATTTTGGTTTATATTTTTCACCGACATTTCAAATTGATAAACTATTATTTAATTAGTCAAACAAAGAAGAAACGGATAAATCAATGAAGATCATCTGTAGTGTCATGGATAGTTTAGCAGAATCTTGTGTACCACGGTTATATCGTTTTCATGGGCGACATATTGGTGGTAAAGGCCTGTGAAGATGCAATATGTTAGTTCATTTATCAATTAGTCCATCTACAGAAAATAAATCGGCAACTATTTAGATATCACGCTAGAAAAAACCGGTCACGGTTAAGTGAAAAGTAAATAATAATTCGTTGCAGCCCTAGTTTGGAGCATTTCTGTCCTCTTACTTATTCAGAAGTGCAATATTGGATCTTAAAGTGTTGCTGTTGTTGTCTTAAACCAGATGACGCCAACAAGGACCATCCACAGGCGCAGCCGGGCATGTTCGGCAGGTTGGCGGGGGGCTTGTATGGTGCCACCAAGGGAGCTTTAGGAGCGACTGTGGGCGGTGTGACGTGGATAGGAGGAAAGAGTCTGGACCTCACCAAGACCACGGTCAGCTCTGTAGCCGCTCTGCCTGGGATTGGAGTGGGTCTAGTTAAAGGAGGAGTGTGTGCTGTAGCCGGAGGAGTGTGTGCTGTAGCCGGAGGAGTGACTGCTGTTGGTTCCGCGGTGGTCAGCAGAGTTCCCATAGGAGGAGGCAAAAAGAAGGACAAGTCTGACTGACGGAGAGAGGAGAAGAGTGAACGCACACAGCTGAGGTGTTATGGCTCACGTTGTTTCCTGTGTCAGCAGTCATGAGCAGGAAAAGAGCAGCAGAGGACTCACAAGTTTAGTGTACACATTTTTGGTAACGGGAGTCTTTGTTTCTTTTCTTTAGTTTCTCTTCTTTAATGTGATTGTTGGTAAACCCATGTTCATATACTTAAGTAGCTAGGACCCACAACGCATGAACTAACAAAGACTCTCCTGCTCTGTTGTTAAAGGCAACGCACTATTATCACCAGTGCCTGAAATTGTTCAGATATAATGTCCATGTTTCAATTTTTGATAGAAAGTGTTTTTTACTGTTGTACTTGCTGCAAAAGTTAACTTTACTACCAGAGAAGAAAAGCTCCTAAAGAGTGTAAATGTGCTTAAATTTCACTTGCAAGACAATCATTGATCAACTGTGATCTGTAAGTGACAAAGAGGTGTTTCACTGTCAACTGACATGGATCAGAAAATCTGTACATTGTGACTAAATCTGCATTTAGTTAATCGACCTCTGTTCAGCTTGCACAAATGAACAAACACATGTGATCGAAGCTGTGATCTTTAAAGTCGAGTCCAGTTTAATATCTAAACCGTGGACTGTGGATATTTCACTGGTGAACTTTTGTGACAGTTCCAGTTTTTCCTCTGAATTCACATTGCCCTCTTGTGGTTATATTGTCACCTCAGTGGAAAGTGACTCATACTTTTGATACAGAATCCAAATTATTACAATAAATATTGTATTTTCATTGCAATTAACTTAACTTCCAGTTGTAATGTTTATTGATTCACTATGAATAACATTTTATACACGACATATTTTTCACACAACTATATATTTTGATAGTTACTGTGATATGTTGCTTATTGTCACTCTCAAATCCAAGTATGTCAACATCTATCCTTTGGGCACAGATGCTTCATTATGGCATAAATCTCTCACAATGTGTCAAAGCATTACTTCTCAACCCGAACGTTCCCCTAATGCTTCTCCATGTTGCTCAGCGAATCTGAAGGCTGGAGTTTCGACATTACATTCTGAGTTTCAAGTGTCAAGTGCAGCTGAGAAACCTGGATCAGGCTACATATAATGAAACCATAAACTGTAAAATGCCATTCGAGTCTTACATGTTACAGAACTACGCTTTCAAAGCTTTTGTTTAATCAGTGTTGCAGGATGTTTGAAAGTTTATTGAACAATGAGAACACGGTAACATTCAGGACTTGTTTAAATAAAACATATGCTGAAGGCTGTATACAGTATGTGTTGTGTTGCATCAGTCACAAAACAAGTCGTATGAATCCAAACAGTATATTTATACTTCTTTACTTCTGTTTTTTCTTTCACCGTAGAGATTTCACTATGTTCTGTACTTTAAAGATTCACTGCTCTACTTTAGACAAAATCGAGATTTTGAGATTGAGACTTGAGATTTCTTTAAAACCTTTGGATAACATGAGTTCAGGAAGATTTTTTTTGTACCCCAAAAAGATTCAGTTAATTTAAAGTAAAATTAAAATGTGCACAATTTATAATTTGGTGCTATGCTCAGTGTCCTGTATTTATTTCAAATGGTGAGGTACAGTTTGTTGTAATGGAGGACCATTGCTATATGCAGGGTTACAGATGCTAAATACATTTAAAACTGCAAATATATCAAACATTTTGTACATAGACAAAGATATAGTCTCTTACAACCCCTCGAAAGATGGCGCTTCATCCGAACATGATTGTCATTATTTATTGCCTCATGATCACCACATGCTCACACTTCCATGTTGGCATGTTTGGTTCTTAAATGACATAAATATAACAAGTAAATACATGATGTATAAAACTAGGCTGCAAATTGACTATAAAAATCAAATATCAGATGAAATAAACAGCATTAAACACATCTGTATCAATAACCTAGATAACTAACAAAGACGCAGGTAAATATAACTAAATCTGTGGTTTAAATACAGGTATACTGCCATCTACTGGTAGAAACGTAAACACTTTCACTCTGCAGCTCCTTTTACAGGCTGTGCTCTCTCTGCCTTCACTCAAGGAACAGAATACGGTGGAGAAATAGTAGCCTAGACAAATGTATAAAGGATGCGGATATTATTCGTAACAGAAATAATTTAGACAGCACTGTTGATGATTATGGGGAAATATTAATTGAGTTCTTGAGGGAGTCAAAATGTTGGGTGCTGAATGGGAGAATACATTTGAGCAAGGATAACTTCACTTTAGTTTCAGTTAAAGGGAAAGCAGTGGTAGACTATATTATTGCCCCACACGAGGGCTTAAATAATTGTGTTAGGTTCTGTATCTTTATGAGAAATTAGGGGGAGAGGATAGATGTAAAATATCTGACCATTCTTTAACAATGTTAAAGTTTCAAGTAAGACCTTATTTTGTGAAAGATGATTCACACCATACACCAGAAAAACTGCATTACAAAGGCAACACCCTGATTAATTAATGTCATATTGCCGGGCCTTATTGAGCAGTTGGGATGTATTGAAAACAGCCAAAGGGATCTGGACGCTTAGTATGATACATTGAGTGACTGTGTCTATACAGCGTTGAATAGGCTACATGTGTTAACAGAATATGTAACAGCCATAAAGTCTTTAGAAATCTTATAAACCTCACTGGAACCAAGATTTGCAGACTTTATGGGACAATCTAAGAACAGCTGAAAAATCATTTCTAAGACGTAAGTACAAATTCCTGTGTGAATGGCTGAAGATAGAATTCAAGGAAAAGCCAAACAAATTTGATAAGATGTTGCGTACTGTGAAACCTAAATTTAATCGAGGCTTTCATTGCATATTGATTACGTACAACATTTTGAAATTAGTTTAATAGATTGGGACCCAGAAAGCTTCGGGAAATACCTATGGAGTTAGAACGGCGAGTGCAGCTCTGTTTTAGGGGTTGGACTACAAAAATTGGAAAAGGACTTTGCAGATTTGTTTTCTGGCTGCAACAATTAATTTGATGATGTCTTTTAAAAGGAAATAACAAGTTTAAAAGAGGTAATGGAATCTGAAATTAAAGCTGATGTAAATAATCGTACTATGTTTCTGAATGCACATTTTTCTATTGAAGAGGTAAAAAAGGTAATAAATAAATGCAAACTGAAAAAAGCTACTGGAATTAAAGATATTTCAAAAGAAGTGTTGCAGACGCCGAGGCTGTTGACAGTGTTGTATGAGTTGTTTCAGTATTGTTATTAATCCTATTCTTAAATCTTCAATAAACTACCCCAAGCTGCCTCTCAGTTATACGGTATAAGTCTTATTAGCTGTGTGTATACATTGTATTCTTCACTTATTAAATGGAGACTAGTGGTGAATCTAGACCAAACACAAATAGTACATTTTAGACAAAAATCATTAGAGAGAAGTTCAATTGTTTTTAACTTTGGTTCAACAGTTCTATCATACTCTGAACAGTATACATATCTTGGCATTACTCTCGACGAGCGCATGACATTTAAAAAAGCTGTCAATGTTCTAGCTCAGTCAGCAGGAAGAGCACTGGTATCTGAACTGAATAAAATTAAACCATGTGGTAATCTGACATTCTGTACTTATACACAACTCTATAATTCATGCGTGTGTCCTGTGTCTGACTATGTTTGTGGTGTTTGGGGTTTCCGTGACCACACAAGTTGTAACACTGTGCATCACAGAGCTATTAGATCCTTATTGGGAGTTCACAAATCTACTTGGCCATTAGTTGGGAACCTCTATTCGATTTTGTGAAAATGTCTGATCAGAGACTAAAAAGATATTTCATTGGGACATTTTGCATGGTCATCCCTGGGCTAAGGGTTTGAAATCTCTGTTTAACATGAACAATATGTCATTGATATTAAGGGGATTAGGACCAAACTGATTTTAATGCATAGAGACAAATGGTCTGTTGATATATGGTGTAAACAAAAGTTACAAACGTATTGTCTCATAAGGAATAACTATAGTGCAGAACTTTATGTGAAGTATAACTTAAACAAAAGACAAATATCCATATGTGCACAGTTACGCTCAGGAACATGACCGTTGGCCCTAGAGACCGGGAAGTTTAATTCCACTCCAGAGGACAGAATCTGTTTGCCGTGTGAGCTCGGGGAAATTGAGAATGAGGAAGTGAAATATTACTGCCAGTGGAATTATGATCTAAAAAAAGTATTTATAGCACATCAAAGCCAATATCTTTTAATACAAATGTGTGTACAATATTTTTGGGGATCAAATTTTTTTTTTTTTGTGGCACACTTTTGCAGTCTTTTTGCATTCATTACAATATACAGTATGTCATATGCAAATATTTTCAAATCTTTTACTTGATCTCAGCTAAATTCTTGAGATCGACACTGCTGTTTATTCCGCAGAGGCACCCATGTTGACTGGTCCCACAGAAACCACAACCTTCGGCTCAGTCTTTCTCTGGTCCACAGCCGTGACATCTCTCTTGTTTTTGATCTTGGTTGTTCCGAAGCATACTGGTTCATAGTAGCCCGCTGAAGCAGTGACCACAGCTGTACTGCAGTGAATGTACACCTGAACAAGTAAAACCATGTAAGCAGAGCAATACAAATATATTTAGTTGCAGCAGTTTATCATCAGTAAATTAAATCATTACCTGTTCCCTCAGGGGTGCCATTGAATTGGGGTCCAAAAAGGTAAACATTTTGAAGAAGAAACGTCTGTAGTGAGTGGGGAAGTCCAGACCAGAGGAGGGACCGACTGGAACCAGTGTGGTCAAGTAGTTATCATCCTTGTATGGACACCTGGATGAAAAGAAAATGACATGAAGGCAACTCATCTGTAATTAAATTAAAAAAGGAAGTCAGTGTTTTCATAGTGTAAAGTGTTAACGCTGACAAAAATGATAGAACATGTTGTCATAAGCAGGGCAGTGTTAAATTGGTGTTTTATTTACCCGTCTATCAGAATGTCCCACTGGGGCAGACTGTGAGGGTTGGGGCTTGTGGTTGTCCAGCAGCGACCAAGAGTCAGGATAAGGTTGGGATCTGTCTTTTCATGGAGATGAACCTCCACGTATACAGAGTCCCTCAGTACTTTGGCCACAGGATAGTCAGCCTCCGTGTAGTACGAGGTATAGGCCACATCCACTGTGAGAGCAGTGACCAGTTAGTATGACAGCTATCTACAAATACAGCAGCGCTGTGCCAGACAGACATCCACTTACCTTCATTACAACCCTTTACACTGCATTGTCCATTAGCCAACTTCAGGTATACTCTGATGGGTCCCAGACCAGCAACTGGTAGAGGAGGATTCAGTAATGGCAATACTTCTACAACCACAGTTTCAACAGAGGTGCCGATGTACCTACACTGGAAGAGCAATCTGAAAAGAGAAAACTGGCATTATGTTGCTTGGTCAGATCTGATATTTAGATATTACAAAATTACTTTAAAAAATGATCACCTACTCATACTGACTGTCCCTGGTAATGATTCCAAGAGGCCCAACTCCCATTTCATATGAGGAGGACATTCTGTTCTCATAGATTATAACACCAGGCTCCTCCTACAAAAGGTAAAAGAAAATGGCATTGTGGGGTAAAAATTTGCATAGGCCTTATTTAAAGTTTTCTTAACTGGTTGAAAAGTTGAGAAAATCGAGGTCTTACCATCACAGTGGAGCCACAGTCGGTAACAGGAAAGTTAAAGATGGCAAAGGCTGAATTAGAGTCCACATGCGTACAGCCAGTACCTTGTTCCAATAGTGTGATTGACTCGAGGTCAATGTTGGGCAGAGTGGCATCTCTTGCCACTACAACAATGAACTGGCCGTCCTTGGTGCACTGAACGGTCACTGGTGGCACAAAGACAGGCTAAATATGTAGAACACCTTTTTTGCATCCTCCATTACAGTCCATTGCATGACATTCTTTTCAAAAACTCACCTGCCTTTCCAAAGTAGCAATGTTGGCCTTCAAAGCAGCAGTTTATGGCTCTGCATCCATCAGCAGAGACATCAGGACCTCCACATGGGATTCTCACGCTTAATGCGACGTCACAACTCTGGGCAGGAATCGGCGTTTGGTTGGACAGTGTCAGTGGGATTTTCGGGTTCTGCGTCGCCTGATCATGATGTGCATATTGTAATTTCCAATAGACATCGTGATGATGATGACCGGGATGGGGAGGGTAATGTGGCTTTTGGTCTGGCTTTGGAGGCCAAGGATTCCATGGAGGGCCATGTGGATTTGGTGGAGGAGCCGGTGGCCAAGAAGACGATGGTGGATGGCTCGATACAGTATGTGGAGGTTTCCAAGGAGGCCACCCTGGTGAAGGGTTTTCTGGTAATTGGATTGTCTGACCGCCCTTATGGCCTGCAAGTGAAGGGTATGTATGGATTAAGCACCCTAGCAGTGCTAGTGCCACTAAAGAGGGTACACTCCAGCATTTTACCATGGTTCAACAGAAGTTTGACCTGGACACTCCCCAGGTGTACAATTTATGTTATATATGCTGCCACATTTATACGTGACTAGGCTTAATGTTTTAAAAACTCCTCCTCTGAGGCTGAATAACCACCAATCACAGCTTCCTATCTTTTCATTGGCCACTTAAATGCTTCAGGGGCGTATTATGTCATGTTTTTTATATTATTTAGGGGGATGATTTGATAAGCCTTTTGGCAACTTCACAAGATCAGACACATGTGTCCTATTAGATCAGGTCACTGGGTTGGATAACATGAAAGTATTTGTTGGCAAGTCATACATTTGGGTCACAAAAACCTTTTTTTTAAAGGTCTTTGTGGCCTCAAGAGTTATTTCTCACCAAATGTTTATTTTGCTAGTGGACAATGGCAAACATATTGATCTTTTCTCTGGATCTGTAACAAACTTTGCCATAATATGCACCTCAGCTCAATAGGTCTGTTCATGTGTATACCTTGCAGCTGTGCCATTATGAACACATTTTTTAAAACATAACCATGTTTCAGTTTCCTAAACAGAGGAGCTTTTAATCCACTGCAAGACAAACATGCTCTGAAGGTTAATGGGAGCCAAAATACAGGAAGACTTTGTAGATTTATTACAAAATACATACATACAGTATTACATAACTTGTGAGGTTACAGATGAAAAAGGTGAAGGTCTTTTATTATCTAGTTATAATAACTGGCAATTGTACAATGGCATAGGGAAATAAAATAATTATGATAGTGTAATGTTTTGTAAATACTTGCAGCTAAGTTGATTTATTCCTACTGAATGAATTTGTTAACCAACCTCACACTAGACCCAATGCTATGTTACTGATATCAATACCACCGTTCTTTATCGTTTATTATCGGCATACCTCACTGCGGTAGCCTACTGATTGATGGAATTCTATTTGTGTCAGTTCTGAGTGTGTGATAGGAAAATATTTTTTTTAACCAGGGCATACATTTTCTCATGCTGGAATAAAATTAAATGTGCATAAAACAAAATCTATTCTGTCCAATACGTGAGCTATTATCCACACAAGTGCAAAATAATAAGCTCAGCCTTACTCAACCTCACACAATGTTCAGGAGTGCAACAGAAAATCTGAAAATTGGCCTAGGATAGAAGAAACCTACAAAATAATGTGGTTAGTTAATAATGTTCTCCATCTTGGCTTTGGATGTAATGCTCAGTAACAGTATGCTGGTTATCTAGCTTGCTGACTACTAAATAACCACCTTATTTTGGCTGTTGCTAATAGCCCAACATGATACGCTTTTAAAATGAGACGTGACACACTCTGTCCAACAAAACCCTACATTAGATTTGACTAAAGTTTCAGACAGGATTCAGTTTGCCTATGTTCCTGCAATAGTTAAATAGCTATGTACAAGTATTGCAAGCTTGAAAGCAGTACAAACTTACGAATGAAACTTTAAAAAGGTTACCAAAACTATAAACTAGGCTACCTATGTGTAGCTATGTTGGGCTATCTTTGAATTCATGTTCAGACAACACTGTTCCTCTTGTGCATTTGATTGACTAGTATCTCTACTTTACTTTTATTTCCTCTTTTTATTTTGCATTTGGGGATCATACAAACTTGTTACTGCTCTGTAACTGTATTTCTGCTCTATTCCATTTGTATTTGATCTCATTGTATGCATTTTATTTTATTTATTTTCATTCAAAAACAACTAAACTTAAATGATTGTATGTAGTTTTTTTTTTGCTAATTATTTTAAAATGCCATTCTAATGCTTTTCGTCTGCTATAAAGCTGCCCTTGCCTTGGCCTGACTACAAGCAATGGCATTTCTAAGGGAATTGGGCAATTTCCCATAATATTAAGATGTTTTAAAACCCCTCATTTGAGGTCAAATAACCACTAATTACAACTTCCCATCTTTTCAATAGCCACTTAAAAGCTTCAGGGGTGTATTATGTCATTTTCTTAATATATATTATTCAGGGGTATGATTTGATAAGCCTTTTTGCTACTTCACAAGGTCAGTTGTATGGGAGAGAAAGGGAGATTAAATGTCCTGTCAAATCAGCACTGGGGTGATTGTCAGTTTGACATTAAAGTATTTATTGACAATTTAAGTCACGAAAACCTTTTCAAAGTTCTTTGTGGCCTCAAGCTTTATTTGTCACCAAATATTTATTTTGCTCGTGCACAATTCACGTGACTTCTCCGATTTGGTTTAGTTAGCAGTTTGTCTTGCACCTAACTAAACATTCGAAGGTTCAGAGGACACTGAGACAAACCACTAGGTCCTAGAAGTGTTGCCATACTAAAAGTGGGCTTCAGCTTACTTGCAGCAATAGGCCGTGATATTTGTAGTGAAAAGGGCTTTGATTGTCTTACTGAAAAGAACATTGCCTTCCTTCAGCTTGCTAGATGTTGTCTTCATTATCCACAATGGAGATTAATGGAAGAAAACAAAAACAATCCAAGCTTACACGTCAGAGTTCTTGCAGCAATCTAGAATCAATAATTGCTATAGCGGTATCAGCTGTTATCGCTGTATAAGACCAGCTCAGAGTGCAGCCGTGACCAGTCGGGCACGCTCACATGCACTAGCATGCACTAAAAGCCGGCCTGACTTTGTCAACAAAATAAGGAGAAGCTTATAATATAATATATAATACAAAGAGGGAGAGCACCATTATTTGCTTAGGTAGACATTAATCCACTATATCTTTACATAGAAAACACTTGTTTGCTGCTGTATTAATGTTCAGAATGTTAAATACAGCTCCCTTTATGGAGGGAGAACTGCCAACACAAACCTCTCCAACTGTCATTGGTTTAATAAATTAACTTTAAAATCAGGTGTTGGGAAAAATATTAACCAAGCTGAAGTCAATTGTGTTCTAAAAATCCTCTTGAAATCTATAGCATTTTTGCGATGTAACGCTGAGTCACACTTACTTATACGCTCTTTGCAAGTAGTCCAAATGATATTCTGACTCAAACCCTTTTTAACCAACCAATTCCTTTTCACTATTATTCATTATTTTCTCCTGAAGTTCTCCTTTTATTCTCCAGAGGCCTTCATCAAAAAGGTTGCTTTATGATAAGTCCAATCTATTCTAAATAACTCAACTTAAAGAATATGTAATATTTGCCTTTAAGGCTACAAGTTGCAATTACAGCATAACATTGCATTTCCCCTCAATTTAAAGATTATCTGGTGTTAGTTGCTTTAAAAACAGCATGAAGCTGAGAGCCAGTGGAACATGACCACAAGCAGAAATATAACATGCCACCTGCTAAGGAACACTTTGTTTAATTCATGCTTTACTTTTTTAATAACAACAGTGAAATTATTATCTGTTATATGCTAAAATGTAGCATAACAGTAGCACAAATATAGAAGAGTCAAAATCAGCAAACATGCTCAGTAGTGTCTGTTACTCAACAGCATCTATCTGAAGTTTGTTAACATTAGCACACATTAGCCAGCATTATACCAGAAACATGTCAGGCTGTAGCAGAAAAGCCTCTGAGTGTCTTGAATTGAGCAAAGGGTTTAATAGCTTTTCAACTTTAAATTTTAAGAAGCAGATTATGTATTTCTTCTCTCAAAAATTGTGCAGTCTTTATTTCAGTGGAGGATCCTCCTGATATCAAGGCAGGTGGCAATATTGCCTTGCCAAAAGTAGGCAAATACAATAATACATCATCAAAATCTACTTAAAGGCAAAGTGCGTATGATTTGGAGGCCTCTAGAGGTGTGGTTGCAGATTGCACTAGCTGAATACCCCTCCGCTCACTCCATTTCCAAGACTGGGGTAACGTGAGCCGCCGAGCGCAAAACCGTGTTACCCTCGTTCGCCTCACTCAGAGGCTATTCTCACCATAATAACACTACTTTAGTTGCAACCGAAGTCACAAAGTGGCTGGCGGTACTACGGTTTTGCACTCTGCAGCTCACGGTACTGCAATTTCACACACATGTTGGAGAACTACAGTGGTCTTCAGGTAGCACAAAAACATGGAAGGTACTTTCTAAGGCCAGTGTTTGGTTTGTCTGTTCTGGGCTAATTCAGAAACATGGTGGTGCACCATGACAGACTCCATTAAGAGGATCCACTTATAAGCCGTTATAAGTTCATTTTAAAATGAAAATACTGGTAACTGCTGAAGCCAGGTGTGTTGTGGCTCTTCCTTGCTGCAGACTTAACAGGTTTAAAGGGCAAAGCACCTGACAGTTAAGCGAGGTAGTTAGGGCTGCAAAGTTGAATCACAAACAGGGGACTTATGTCCATGATCCGGCACAGGAGCATTGTAAGATCTGAGATGATTGTAATGGACAATCTGGGACTGATCCAAGAGGTAATGAATCTTGTATGGCACTCCAGGAGAATCCACATCAGATCCGAGGCACTCCAATATTTCAAAGGGGCCTTCACAGAGAGGAGACAGTTTTTGTTTAGATGTAGTGGGGTCATTTAACCACACGAGGTCTCTAGAACCACAGGGAGTGTGCTTGCCACTTTTGTCATACCTTTGTTTCTGTTGCTTGTGGGCACAGTCCCTGTCCCATGCAGAAGAACCAAAGACTGACCGATGATTCTCGGTCAACTGTGCAACATAGACAGCAGGAGAACCTGGAGTAGATGAAGATGGTGTGTTTCTAGGTAACAGCAGGTTGGCAGGCATCCTGGCTTCATGACCATGTGTGAGGTAGGATGGAGTGAAACCTGTTGCAGAGTGAGGGCTGGTGTTTCAAGCCAAAGCAACTTGGTTAA